GCAGCTGCTGGCCGCTCACACTGGCTGCTGGCTACACACGGTAGCCCATGGCAACCCACTGCAGCAGGGGCTGCAGCCCACTCTGTCGCCGGTGACTCATGGCAGCCCAGCTCCAGGTTGAGCTGTTGTTCAGGATCTTAGCTGTAGAGGGCAGTGTCACTGGCCCTCATATGTGGGACCTGAACTGAGGCCCTCCGGCGTCCCAAGCCAGCTCTTAACCATCACGCCACTTGGCTGGTCCTGAATCTTGGGGCTTTTGTATTCACTGTTGCCCCTGTGATTCTCTTTGCTCTTGTGTTGGGTTCTGTTTTCTGGATCTGATATCTTCCTCTTTTATGATTATGTGCTAATTTTGATGGTTAGCCTCCTCAAATAGGTTCCTGAGAGAATGTACGTGATACACTTTTTGAGGCTTCACATGCTTGAAAATGTCTTTGTTTTACACTCATAATTGAGTTATAATTTTTATGGGTACAGAATCCCAGGTTGAGAATAATTCCCTTGCAGAATTTTGAAAGCATTGTTCCAGTATTCTTTTTTCCTTTTATTATAAAATGCATCATACATATAGAAAAGTGCATAAAACACACATATGGTTTAATGAATAATTATAAAACAAACCTTTGCATACTCTCCACGCAGGTCAAAAAGTAGAACATTGAGGGCATGTTTTTTCCCCTCTCCAATCACAGCTCAGCTCTTCCCTTGACTTTTGGTTAGTCATTTCCTTTTCTTTATAGTTTTGCCACATTGCTAAATAATATAGTTTATTTTAGCCTTTGATACTGACTTTGTATCAATGGAATCATACTATAAAACTTCTTCAGTGTCTGGTTTCTTTCACTTAACATTTTATTTGTAAGATTCATTTATATTGTTGTAGGTAGCTGTGGTTTAATTTTCATCGCCTTATAGTATGCCTCAATTTATTTCTCTCTTCTATCTTGATGAACATTTAAGTTCTTTCCAGTTTGGGGCTATTAAAAATAATGCTGCTTTTAACAGTCTTATACATGCATTCCAGCTATTATGTGGACAAATTTGGGGGTATACATCTGGGAGTGAAATTGGTGGTTCATAGAGGGTGTGTATCTTCAATTTTATCAGATTCTATTATCTTTTTTTTTTAATTTTATTGGGGAATTGGGGGAGGGGAACAGTGCTGGGGAATCAGGGAAGGGGAACAGACAAGTTGCTGTCATTTTGTTCTTCAGTCTAGTTGTGGAGGACGTTGCTTCACTGGCCCAAGTTGGCACCANTGTTGTTCACCATCTTAGCTGTAGAGGGCGCAGTGTCACTGGCCCTCATGTGGGATCCGAACTGGGGCCCTGCTGCTCAGAGCTGGCATCCTAAACCAGCTCTTAACCAACGCGCCACTCGGCCGGCCCACTTTTGTACTTCTTGAGCCTTTTTTTCTTTTTGCCTTGGCTTCTGGTACTTTGCCTTCTGGAAAAGAAAAGCTTTGAGGAAAATTGAAGAAAATGTTACCTGATTTTGCTCTTCCTCGGATACATTAGAAAGCTAGGAGAGATGAGTTTTCCTTTTCTTTCTAGTTGAAAGTGCCTGAGCAATTTTTCTAGCAAGAGGTATGACTCAAAAAGAGATATGACTAAGAGAACCCATGAAGGTACCAGAATCCTGAGAAAAGACTTGACAGTAGCATTAACAGCTTTAATGTTTCTTTAAAAAATCATGTCCATTCTCTATCCATATTTTGCCTTCATGTTTCCTTAAATTTTTACTTACATGTTTATTTTTCCAGGTAAATATTGACAAGCAGGCAGTCTCTTTCAAGGATTGGTTTTAGGGCTAGCAGGGTGGCATAGTTGGTTAAGAGCACGAGTTCTGAGCATCAGGGTCACCGGTTTGATCCCCACATGGGCCAATGAGCTGCGCCCAAGCTGAGCTGCCGCTGAGCTGCCAACGAGTGGCAGGATGGCTCAGCTGGTGAGAGCACGTGTTCCTTACAACAAAGTTGCTAGTTCTACTCCCGCATGGGATGGTGGGCTGTGCGCCCCTGCAACTAGATTGAAAGTGGTGACTGGAGTTGGAGCTGAGCTTGCGCCCTCCAACACTAAGATTAAAGGACAACAACTTAACTTGGAGCTGATGGGTCCTGGAAAAACACAATGTTCCCCTTCACCAATTCCCCAACACTGCTCACTTCCGCTATTCCCCAATTAAAAAAAAAAAATCTAAAAAAATAAAAGAATTGGTTTTGTCTAGGATTTGATTTGGATTCCTGTAAACTTAATTGATGTCAAAATATTATTTGAATAAAATGTGTTTATTATTTTTGAAAACATGTGCATTCATATCTATACATGTATTCTTAGGTTTATCTACATTACCTTTGCAAAAATATATAAGAAACTGGTAATGCTGATTGCCCTAAGGGAGCAGATGGGAGGCTACGAATGGGGTTTGGAAGGATCTACCTTATTCTATACATCCTTTTTATATTTGAAATTCCCCCCTGTGTATGTACTTATTAAATTTAAATATAGAAAGGAAAAGAGAAGGTTGATTTGAACAGCATACAATTTTAAATCTCTATGCTCTTTACAGTGATATCCTGAAAGAAGATGGGAAAGGGCTGCAAGGTTGTGGTTTGTGGCTTCTTATCTGTGGGGAAAACAGCGATTTTGGAGCAGCTCCTTTATGGGAATCATACTATTGGTAAGATTCGTTTTCTCTGTAGGTTCTGGGAACTGCAGGGGTCTTTTATTGGTCCTGCTAACCTAAAGATGGGTGACTGACAGTACACAAAAGTGAGTTGTAATCCAGAGGGACCAAAAAGGTCATAGAAGTCAACAGAGAATGAGGGAGGAAAAAATGGAGGAGGGAAAAAACATCTTTTATGATATTGAAATTCAAAAGTGCTTGCTGTAAGTTATAACAGGTAAGAAAACGTGTGTGTTTGTGTGTGTGTATGTATGTGCATGTATCTTTTATATATGTGTGGTTTCCTGTGTATTTACATAATGAATAAGTGGTCTTGAAGTCATAGAATCACTGACTTAAGAATACACTGATCTTTCTTGTTTCAAACATGACTTTCCAATACTGCTGTATAGGTTTTAAAAATGGAAGAAACAGCTATTTGCTGCAATCTGACTCAATTTTGCGAATTGGATTATCTCATTTAGTCATTGAGTTAAATAATTACTAAATACTTGCTATATGAATACAGGCTGTAATGAGGCCTTGTGAGGATGCAGAGGTGAAGACAGCGTCTTTGGCTTTAAGGAAGTCATAGTTTAGTAAGGCAGACAGACATTACAAGGTAGAATGCAATGAAGTTTTTGTTAGAAAAGTGGGATCATTGAAGTATTTATCTCTGGCAAGTAGCTTAGAGCACCTTTTTATCTTACTTTTATAACTATTTTGATGAGCTCTGCTTCTCGTCCACCTTCCCAAAATAATATTTAACAATTTTGGTTATATCTGTATTTGGTTTTTATTATGGTACCTGCGCCAGCAGTTCTCAAACTTTTTGGCTTCTTAATCCCTCCTGTCACAAATGCTGCACTATTCTTAATTTTTTACCTACAGATTCTAATTTATGCCTGTGTAAAAAATAAATTATTCCTTGGAGTGGGGTGGGGGAAGAATCCCTTTATCCTCTTAAAACCCCACACAGCTTTTGTTTATGTAGGGTATATCTTTCAATGTTTTTACTGTATTAGAAATTAAAACTGAGAAATTAAAAATATATTTGCTATTTAAAATAATGGCAATAAACTTATCATATGCCAAGATAACATATTTTATGGAAAATAATTGTTTCCAAAAAACTTAGTGAAAAGAGCATTGATTTACATTTTTGAAAATGTAATGTCCAGCTTAATATTGTAGAAGGCAGCTGGATTATATCTACTTGCTTTTGTATTCAATCTGTTGTAATATGATGTTTTAGTTGCAATATATGAAGAAAATCTGGCCTTTTGCAGATATGTAGTTGGAAAGGGCAGGAGTATTTTAATAAACTTTCCAGATAAGTGTGGATATTCTTCTTTGGTATTTCACTAAAACTCAACAAGTGATGGTTATTTAAAGGTTACTGTAATGTGGAATCTGAAACCATATAACTGAACTTTTCCTACTGTATTACATTAAACTCTCATTGATCTGTCTTGCACTTTAAGTGGGGTTTTTTGTTGTTGTTGTTTTTAAACTCAACCATGGTTTTTTAACATAATTCACTGGTCATTTGGAAAATACTGGTTCACTGAGATAAGCAGATCTTTCAAATAACACTTATTAATATTATCACCAATCTCATCACTATTGGGAAGCTATCAAGTTCAAGGTGATGGATACAATTCTAATTTTTGCTTGAAAGGTCAAATTTTATTATTGACAACAAATACTGTCAGTTATTTTCCTTCAAACGATAGGCTCCTTTTATTCATTTTTGAAAAAAATGTCAAATACCCTGAATAACCATGATTTTTCTGTTATTCCTTCCTTTAAAAAAAAAAAGTTCTGGTTCAGTTTGCAACTCAAACACGAGAGCTTTTTCTAGGCCAATACCATAATTCATTATACAGAAATATTGGGTTGTCGGAAAAGTCATGACGTATTTTTTCTATGTTTTTCGTTGCAAAAATGCGTCATGACTTTTCCGACAACCCAGTACTTTATGCATACTTCGCATTAATCACGTAGCATATTAAAAAGATATAAAGATGTATACTCAAGGATTGAGATTTCATAAAATTAGTAATTTTTACTGCTTCATCAAGGACATTCTTAAGTGAATAGCCCCAAACTGAAAATACCCCAAATGTTTATTAAGATTGAAGAGATAAATAAATTGAGGTATATGCATACAATAGAATACTAAAAGGCAATGAGGAAGTGAAACTGGCTTTGTATTTTTTTAACTGCAAGCATGAAGTGGTAAAGAATACAACTACTAATACAGTTGGTGCCACTGCCTTGATTTGCTGTCAGGCACCAGCAGTTTTAGCCACCGTTGCTTTTGCATCATTGGTGCAAATGTCAACACAGCGGAAAAGACAGATGTCTTGGTATTATGATAAAAATGGTTTTGCCCACGTGGATTCCCTGAAAGGAGACCTCAAGGGATCTGTAGACCACGCTTTGAGAGCTGCTGGTGCGTGTCAGTATTCTCAGCTGAGCAGCATTGTGTACTATGGTTGTTTCTTTTCTTTTTATGGAGGTTAAGATTTGCTTTACTTAGTCATTTTTTTTAGTTTTGTTTATACCGTTTGCTGAATCTTCCACGTGTCCAGATGTTTCTCCAATTTCTAGGTCAGCTATATCAGATAACCCTTTTTTTCCTCCCTGGAAATATACTCCCCAGAACTAACTATCTAGGCCTATTCCATGGTGATGGGACTTCCCTTTACCTGTCTCCTCCTAGGTTTGATTTCCTGTTTCCCAGATCTCTTGTCATCTTCTTTTGGTTTACACCCTTCTTTTGGTGATGCACATCTTCAGTCTTTTTGGGGGGTTGAAAATGGTGTACAGTGAAAGGGGCATTGGGTGATGACAGCCCTTAAAATGCCTTCTGTGCCTGGCGCATAGTAGTGATCTTGGGTTTTCTGAATCTTGGGGCTTTTTTTTTTTAAGATTTTTTTTTTATTATTGGGGAATTGGGGGAAGTGGAACAGACAAGTTGCTGTCATTTTGTTCTTCAGTCCAGTTGTGGAGGACGTTGCTTCACTGGCCCAAGTTGGCACCATCATTGCGCTCTTCCTGGGC